TGCAAGTGTAATTATATGCTGTAACTGAATGAGTAAACCCAGTTTCACAGAACCAATTTATCCTGATTTTTCTGTTGTCTAGTAGCAGTCTCAACTAAAGTTCTACCTTGTTCCACAAGTTTTGTTGCAGATGCCAGAAACAGGAGGTGAAGTGATAGCATTAAACTGCTAAGAGAAGAAATAGGAAAATTTAATTCCTTTAAACCAATACTGTTCATTTTAATTGGAGGTAAGCTTCAGCTAGAAAAGTTACACTTTAGGCAGACCCATGTTTTTGGGTTCAATAAAGGTAATTGAATGAAATTTCATGGTTAGTGTCTTAAAACAGAGCAGCTTAGATCCTTGAGTGTGGTTTAGTGGACTTCTATTCTATAAATCCAGAAACTGGAAGGAAAAACATGGGTAGCATAATTGCATCTCATTTTAAGCTTCAGTAATGTGCTGCGGACAACAGGCACACATGTGCTACCTTGGCTTTCTTTCAAATACTATGAGTAAATATTTGACTATACAAGGCTCATGTAGGTACCAACCTGAAATTCCTATTCCATCAGTCCACATGTAAAAAGCTAATCTGCAACTGATTGTTAGCCAAATTGGAATGAAAGAATGTAAAAGAACTCCTGAAAAAGAACAGACTTGAACCTCTTCCTTGCTGCCTTATATTGAAGGGCAAACAGAGATGACACTGCCTTGGGGAATTTTTCCTTTAATCTTGCCAACAGGAAGCTTCTTCCTCATGTGCTCCTTCATTGCTGCCATGCTTCAGAGGCTGCTCTGTGTGCTGAGGCTGTGTCATGGTTCCTGTGCCCATTGTGCCAGCTGCCCAGGGGCAGATCATGGGCCCTGGGATCAGTGAGGAGGCAAAGACTTTGCAAAATACCTCAGAGCTGATAGGACGAAGGCAGTCACCAGTAATGCACTCCCTTTGCTGTGTGTTCACGTTATCCCAGGACCTGTCTTCCCCTGGCTGCTTTGTCTAGGAGCCTGGTAAACTGCCTTGGAGAGCCAGAATAAATTATGAACAGGCCACGGTGTGTTGCAGAGTTAATGCTGAGGTGGTGTTACCTGCCTGGCCAGGAAATGCAGAGGGTTAGTGTGAAGTAATGCATAAGAAGACCGGTAGAAAGAGAGTCTGAGAAGTGTGAGATACTTACTTCCACTGGTTGCTAGAAGAAGCCAGAACTTGAGGCCAAGCTTATTAAACCTGATGTAAGAGATGAAATGCAATGGCAGGGTATATTACCTTGAGCTTGGTGCGGTGACAACATGGTTACAATACTGTTTTCAGGCTTGGAGCTTGGGCAAAGCTAGCCTGCATCTGACACAGTCTGTGTTATAAATATTTCGAATCCAAACCTAAGCAGAGATATATGGGCTTGTCCATTTTCATGATGAGAAACCAACAGTCGGGCACTGCTCAGAACACACCACTTCCCTTGTCCCAGGTCAGCATGTCCATGGGAACATGCTTTAAACCAAAACTTTATGGATAAAGGGGCTTATGTCTCAAATGACCGTGAGCTTGGGCAACACTATAGCAAAATAAGCTGTATGAAATCTTGGAAGTATTCTTTAATCAGGGATTGCTCAAGTCTGTAGTCTAACAATGTATTGCCCATCTCTGTGTTGCCCTGTGTGACCTGTGTGCTGCAAAGATGGTCACCCACATTAAAGATTACCCTTCTGGGTAAAATCTGAAGCCCTATCCTGCAGAAAATGTTTGGTAAGTGGATTCTTACATGCTCCCAGAAGCACTGTAAGATCTGCAGGTTTTTGGGAAAGTTCCAAAAGTGAATGCAGAGATCATGTTTTATGTCAGGATTGACGGCTGAAATCACACAACAGAAGAACTCGGTTCCTTGGTGGTTTTCTCTCATTTCACAGACAGATAATTTAGTGGCAGAATGTCTGGAACAGCATAGTGAAACCTGTTCTGCCTGTCAGTTGAGCTGCTGTGTTAGTCTCTGATTGGTATATATCAGAGAATATAATAGCAGCCACTCCTATGCAAAATTAGCTCTGTTTGTGTGTTGCCTACCGGAATAGCATAGTATTTAAGCACAAGAACATAACATTTTGTGAGGAACAAGAATTTCTATGGTCTGGTTCTGCATCTTCTCATTTGACATCTGATTTCAGTGTTCTCACGCTGTTACAAATAAGATCAGGTCTCTATTGTAGAATCTATTTGAAATGATGCAGGTTGTTTTTATATTTGTGCTCTTTGGTAAGCTTTGTCTTTAGATGTGGGCTCCATTGTAGAAATGAGGCTGTGCCTGCACATGCTTTTTTACAAGTAGGATAACTTTGTAATACTGGAAGTCTTAAAATAGCTGAGCAACATGATATCCTCACACATTCTTTTCTAAAGCTGATGCATCTGTGGTGGGATCACACATTACTTGGATATGATTTATTAGAAAAGCAGGAAAATTTTCTCTGGCAGTAATCCTTCTTTACCCCCCAAAAAAATGCAGCTCTGAAAAATCAAGAGGTTCCATAGGAAAAAGTCAGTTTTGTGAAAATATCCCCACTTCACCTGGTTTTCTTTTCCCCATTAAAAACATTAAGCTAGGAATTCCTACCTCCATTTGTCCTGGGTAGACAATGATGAGGGTAGCCAGATGTCTCAGATCTGGGCAGGTCTCCATAGCTGGTACCTAGCAATATACCACTCGACCCATGTTGCCAAATGGTGCAAGCTGCCACCCTTCCTTTTCATACTAAGGCAGTTTACGCCAACTTTATGGCATGAAAACTTTCTTCATCAAATGTCTTAAGGAAAATGACAATATTTTGGTTCTCGTTTATGAGGAGACATGCTATTTCCCAGAGAGCTGTCTGTAAAAGAGTCAACTGGACAGCTGTAACAGGTATGTCCATTCTCCTAGAGGACCACGGCTGTTGTAAATACTGATTCTTAGCAGTAAAGTGTCTGTGTTCTCATTCTGAAGCATTCATGTAAATCCTTGCTTGAAAAATAATGTTTTGGTTTGGGTTTAAGATTTTTTTGATAAACAGAGATTATCTTTTCTCACGCTACTCCTGCTGCATGTGAAGCATAACTCAGTTTATGACCACATGTGGATGATTTCAGACTACAAGGATATTTTAGTAATGACATATGAACGTATTCAATGATTTACTCTTTCACAGGCATTGAGTAACTGACTCAAAATTCAGTTACTGCTTGTAATGAGCAGTGGAAACAGAGCAATTAAGGATAAATGAGATCTGGCTACTAGCAGCAGCTACCTTTGACTGCAGCTGCATGATGCTCTGTGTTTGTATATGGCAAAAAGGGCTGCTCTCTCTGATAATGTCATCTGGGAACACGTGTCCTCAGAACCTGCTGTGAACATGGTGCTTAGCTGTACTTTAAATTAGTAGTTTTTTTAAACTTGCCAGAAAAAACTGTTAGACAAGTGTCTTAAAAAGGGGGGTGGGTGGGGTGGGTGGGGTGTGAAATAATAAAAAATGTCACAGTTTCATGGCTATATCTACACAGCAGAACCCACATAAATAACGAAGCTCCTCTTTCTTCTGTGCTTTTGGGTAGCAAAATAATTGCAGTCAGCGTGAGGGGAAGAGCATTTGCTTTCATCCTAACATTTCTGGAAGACACTTTGGACACATAACAGTAGTACAGTGTTAGAGCAATCTTAGCTCCTGCACCAGAGACTAGACCACAGGTTTGTGAAAAGGTTTTGATGGGCATGACACCATGTGCTCCCTCATACCCCCTTTGAAGAATCAGCTGTAGAGAGAATTGCACTGATTTTGTACCATCATCTGAGAATACTGTGAGGCCTTTTGTCATGCTTCGGAGTCAGAAGCTGCCAGGAATTTTTTAAGATCAAATGAAGCATCAATGTCCTTCTTCCCTAACAGTTGCATAATGTTGGCATCACACATGAGGAATATGATTTGCCTCCAGTTTACTATGTCTTTTGCTGGACAAGGTTCTAAGCAGTTAAAAATCCTTCATGAAAGAGCAATTTATCTGGTAAGGAGTGTGTGGTCAGCATGCCGACGTGAACTATTTGCTTGCATTGACTGCAATGAAGACAAATAACAAGGGATGTTATCTATCAAAGCAAAGACATAAGCCTGAAATGGAAATTTTATTTACTTGAGAGGGATGAGGGAGTTAAAAGATTCTCAAGCAAAATGTGTGGCACAACACTGAAAGACACTACTGCTCAAAGTCAGTATAGGTTATGGAAAACAGGATAGAGAATGTAGAAACTGAGAAGAACATAACTTGTTTTTATCTAAGGGTCTGATGGGCAGAGTTTAAAATAAGATTTCCTTCTCTTTGGAATTTTATAGGATGTTTAAAGAGGAACTGGAGACTGAGGTGCAAAAAGGATTGGGTTTGTCTGAGATCAAGAAACACCTGGGCCAAAGGAATGTTTTTTTTAGAAGACTATTTGAAGGTGAATAGAAAAGGATTCTGAGAAGTCATTAGCATCCTGAGTACCATAAACCTGGGGTGGAGGTTTATGGCAGGCTTTGTTTATCTTTGATGCAGCCAAAGGAAATACGCCTTACAGATTATTTTTAAGCACTTCTTATGTAAAACAAAACAGAAACAGCAATATTAAGAGGATTAGGAGCTAGGTAATAATATTCATTCAACCTTAGTGTTTATTTTGTGCTTCTGCAGAAATAATAAATGAACAAAAATTCCTTTTGTGCTCTCCACTCGCTGAAGTGCAAGAACTTGCCAGGTTACTTTCCTTTTGAGGAACAGCTGAGGGCATGAAGTTGGGCTGTGTCTTTGGTTTGACCCATTCTTACTACTTTGTTTTCCGAGAAACAGCATTTGCCTGCACTATTTGCTGCAAAGTGTATTTGCAGGAAAATTCACAGCACACTTGCTGTTCAAAGACAAGATTATTAGTTAAAGGCTAGTGAAACTACTTGCTTACTTTATTTTTGTGATGTGAGGTGGTGGCATAAACATGATATCATGTCAACATGACATCAATACTGATACTATCACAAGCAACTACTTCCAGCTCCAGCTTTTCCCCGAGCATGTGCCTGGCTCAGGTACAGGATTCACGCACCGACATGGCTGCTTGTCCTGACCTCAAGCAGTGCACCATGTGCCCTTGCAGGGTGGCCCTTGGTGGCAGTGCTCACACCCTGCACACACAAAGCAGTGTTGGCCTGCGTGTTTTCATTACCACAAATGCTCCCCAGTGGGTTTTTCAAAGTCCTTTGCTGGCTGGTTGATACAGATACCAGAGCTATTTCAGCAACCACTGCAGGCAGGGAGGACACAGCTGAGTGGTTTCCAGGGCTTGTGAGCCTCCTGGCCGTGGGAAGGGTGTGAGCTCTGGCTGCTGTCTCCTCTATCACAGTGTGTTATTGCAAAGGTTTGAAATTGGTGTCATAACAAATGTTGAGGCTTGGGAAAAAGTTTTGAGGTCGACCTGAAAGGAGGGATAATGCCCTTTTCCCAAGACTGTCTCTTTCCCACAGGTGCCTGTAGATAACTTTATGATGTTGAAGCTGATAAGATAATTAAGCTGCTAAAGGCAGACAGCATTTGAGGATAAATCTGGCAGCTGCTCTGTGAAGTGGCTTTGATTGAAAGCTGTGCCCTGGTTGGGTGAGCTGTACAAACCATGCTCCAGAGCCAACAAAAACCACCTTTCTGGCACAGAGAAAAGTGTCAGACTGATTCACAGGATCACAGGTAGGTTGTGGCCTGAGAATAGCTTTATTAAGCAAAGCTGTTGAAGCACGAGCTTGTCTCTTAGGCAAATCAATTGCTCAGATTAAGGTTATATAGTGCAGATATATCTCTCCTAGAGGGCAGGTCTCTCAGCAGCCCCACAGGCAAGTGGCTGGGGAACCCTGTAAGTTTGCTGGCAGCTGTGCACTGGGACTTCTTTGCAATCCTATTGCTAATCACTATTTAAAACATCTAGAGTTGCATAAATAGGTGTTTTCCATTGGCAAAAAAATTCTCCCAGAAGTTCAAAGTTGTTTATCCGTTGTTATTGAACTTAAAAAAAGTGCTCCTAATAAGGGATAACCAAAACCCCAGAACTGAGTCAGCACTCCTTAAGGAACAAGCAAATAATTTTAATTCTTTAAATGTTCTCCACTTCTAATTGGTTCTTCCAACCTGAAACACAGTCTCAATGAGAAGAAAAACCCATAACATCTCATTTTCTGAGCAAACTTTCAGGTAGCCAAATTGAAGGTGATGGTAACTCTGGGTATGTTTAGGAGTTGAAATTTAAAATTAAGTCTGGTTGTAGAAGGTCAGATTTCACATTGTTGTCTTTTAAGTCTGGCAGCCAGATGGGACCTGAATACGTTGAACTAGAACATAACTGCCTAATATAGAATCATAGAATGGTTAGGGTTGGAAAGGACCTGAAGTACATCTAGTTCCACCCCCCCGCCATGGGCGGGGATACCTCATGCTAAACCATGTCACCCAAGGCTCTGTCCAACCTGGCCTTGAACACTGCCAGGGATGGAGCATTCACAACTTCCTTGCGCAACCAATTCCAGTGCCTCACCACCCTCACAGGAAAGAATTTCCTTCTTATATCCAGTCTAAACTTCCCCTGTTTAAGTTTTAACCCGTTACCCCTTGTCCTGTCACTACAGTCCCTAATGAACAGTCCCTCCCCACCATCCCTACAGCCTCCCTTCAGATACTGGAAGGCTGCTATGAGGTCTCCACTCAGCCTTCTCTTCTCCAGACTGAACAGCCCCAACTTTCTCAGCCTGTCTTCATACGGGAGGTGCTCCAGTCCCCTGATCATCCTCATGGCCCTCCTCTGGACTTCTTCCAAAAGTTCCACGTCCTTTTCATGTTGAGGACACCAGAACTGCACACAATATTCCAGGTGAGGTCTCACAAGAGCATAGTAGAGGGGCAGGATCACCTCCTTCGACCTGCTGGTCACGCTCCTTTTGATGCAGCCCAGGATTCGGTTGGCTTTCTGAGCTGCGAGCTCACACTGAAGCCGACTCATGTTCAGTTTCTCATCAGCCAATACCCCCAAGTCCTTCTCCGCAGGGCTGCTCTGAATCTCTTCCCTGCCCAACCTGTAGCTGTGCCTGGGATTGCTCTGACCCAGGTGTAGGACCTTGCACTTGGCATGGTTAAACTTCATGAGGTTGGCATCAGCCCACCTCACAAGTGTGTCAAGGTCCCTCTGGATGTCATTCCTTGCCTCTAGCATATCAACCGAACCACACAGCTTGGTGTCATCGGCAAACATGCTGAGGGCGCACTCAATCCCACCGTCCATGTCACTGACAAAGATGTTGAACAAGACCGGTCCCAACACTGATCCCTGAGGGACACCACTCGTTACTGGTCTCCAGTTGGACACTGAGCCATTGACCACAACTCTTTGCGTGTGGCCATCCAGACAATTCCTTATCCCCTGGGTGGTCCATCTTTCAAACTGATGTGTCCAATTTAGAGACAAGGATGTCGTGTGGGACAGTGTCAAACGCTTTGCACAAGTCCAGGTAGATGACATCAACTGCTCTACCCCTGTCCATCAGTTCCGTAACCCCATCAGGGAAGGCCACCAAATTGGTCAGGCAGGATTTCCCTTTAGTGAAGCCATGCTGGCTGTCACCAAGCACCTTGTTGATTTTCACGTGCCTTAGCATGCCTTCCAGGAGAACCTGCTCCAAGATTTTGCCAGGCACAGAGGTGAGAGTGACTGGTCTGTAATTCCCCGGGTCATCTGTTTTCCCCTTCTTGAAAATGGGGGTTATATTCTCCTTTTTCCAATCATCAGGAACTTCACCTGACTGCCATGATTTTTCAAATATGATGGGCAATGGCTTAGCAACTTCATTAGCTAGCTCCTTCAGGACCCGCAGATGGATTTCATAAGGTCCTATGGACTAATATAACTTGTTAATCAGCAGCGTATCTCTGTCTTAAGGTTTTTTTAGATGCTGGCTTAAGATTGATGGTAAGAGTTTATGGCTCAATATACAAGCATGTCTAAATCTTAGGAACTGATATTCTTGAAACTGTGGCATATTCCCCTAGACAGCTGCCCTGCAACTGATTTTCGAGGAGGCATCTTAGTTTGTGGATTAGTTTGAATCACAAATCTAGCCTCTGATTTAAATGAAACAGTTGTTGTTATTTTGTTGAACTGGAAAAAAAAGAAAAAATATCATTATCTTAGGACTTAAAAAAAAATTAAATAAATTATTCGGTGTTCATTTCTAAATTAAATTATTTTGGGAATGAAAATTCAAGCATATTTTCATATTTCTCTTCCCTTCTCTCCAGGCTTCTTCAGCTGAAAAAAGATAAATTATGTCTGCAAATAGTTATAGTTGTACCCAAGTATGCATTTTTTTTCTTTTTTTTAATATTCAACTGAAAATTCTGCTTCTTTAACTCTTTGAAAAAAAATCAGCACTGCAGTGTAATGCAGAACAGGTTGTGGGACATTATTCTGTGTACTTTTGTGGAATAAATTATTTCCCTGATAGTCAAAGATAATTTTCCAGATCTATATGGGTCTGATAAAACTGGAATTACATATCCTTGACTTTTGTTGGTTCAAAGTATGATTCAATAAAAAGGAGATTGTAGCAAACTGTCGGGGGGGCACAGCAGACCATGGCTGGTCTCTGTGGGTAGCAGTGGGTATGTTGCAGTGACAAACTTGGACTCTGCTCCTTTTCTGCTTGTTTTCGGGCAGACCAGCTTCCTTTGACCTCTGGAGCTGGAAGAGAGATATAGGAAGGAAGAGCTTTCTCACGGTAAGTGCAGGAGCCTATGCTGCTCATTCCCCCCATGGATCAAAACAGGAAGCATTTGCTGGCAGCATCCCCTTGTCTCTCTGCATCACTCTCTCCCCTGCCCAATGCTTCCGAAGGTGTGTTCTCACCTGACCTCCTCCCTCCAGGTTGTCATGCGATTAACACAAACTCGCTACCCCATCATTCTTGTGATCATGATTTACACATAGATCCAAGAACTGTGAAATGGGTAGAGCGGAGGGAATTAGTATAAAAGTGTGATCCCACTGGGATTTGATTTTTCCTCATTTGTCTCCTCAGTCACTTCTTTTCCTCAGTGGGTCAGAATTGAGCTTGATTTGACCAACCTAGTATTTGAATCTCCAGCATTTTACCTCTCCAAAATTGTTCACGGTTTGATCTAACATTGCCTTTGTGATTACAAGAACTGTACTCTGGATGGGACTGCAGGAGCACTGAACGCGTAACCCAGCCTACCTGCCTGCTGCAGGGCTCTGATAGTACACATTACTGGCTCCCCAAACTTGCTGAGAGTGCACTGCATCCCACTGTCCGGGGCACTGGGGAAGATGCTAAATAGCAACAGATCAAGCAGACATCACTCCTAACTGGTTGCCAACTGGACTGTGAATTGCTGACCCTCATCTTTGATTCTGAACACACCTCCGGTTTCCCAGCCTACCCTTTCCTTATTTTCAGTTTGGATGCAAGAATACTGCATGTCAAAAGCCTTGCAAAAGTCAGTGTATACTTCACTATTTCTAACATTGACATTTGTTCTTTTACATATATTTTATATTTTTAAAAACACCTATATATTTAAAAATGCAAGCAAAACTTATTTGAAAAAAAAAGCTCAAAGAATAAAAGCTTTAACAAAATTTAACTTTCCTGCAAGATATTTTATAGTACTCTTGCTTTTAATTGTCAGACATGTCCATTCAAAGTCTGAGATAATAACATCTCTCCATAGTGGCTACTTTTACAGCTACAGTGTCTGCTGTTACTAAGCAAGTGATAAAATAATTATTATTGCTATCAGAGTGTAGTCTAGAGACAGCCAGCAAAGGTGAGGCCCCAGAGTAAAGTTCAGGATTACTGAGACTTGCTGTTATTTGTTGTTAATGATGTTGAGCTGCAGGAGGAAAGACAAAATGTGAAATGGTATTTTAAACAAAAAACACAGTAGGCATAAGAAAATTAAATCAAGACAAAACAAGAAAAAGATCAGTATTGATTATAGAGTGTTATGAATGAGCTTCTGCTCAACAAAATATCAGATGATCTATAAATATTACATTCAACTTCATATAACTGGAAGGGCAAATTTCTCAGGAGGGCTTGAGGTAGAGAGCCTGGAGATGATGATGAAAAAACCTTCAGTCTCTTGGTATTCCTGTGCCAGCTTCTGTTATACCAGCTTTTTTTGGGTCATTTCTAGCCCCAGCTGGGGCCTTTAGAGGTAGGAAATATTCCTTGTACTATCACTTCTGGGACAGTAGCTGAGGCTTCAGCTCAACAAAGCACATGCCTGACTTGAAGGCTGTGTTTCTGATCTGTGAGGCGCGCGAGCACTGGCTGTGAAGTGCCTCTGACCTGAGGTTGCCTTATTCCTGTTATCAGTACATGTGTGTTGCCCTGGTGGAGGCGCAAATCCTAAATCTCTGTTTGGATTGTGGTGAGAGAAAATTCTGAGCAAAGGAAACTTTTCCTGGCACTGGGCAAGAGGATCCACAGGGGGCCCCCCTTTGCTCCCCGTCCTCTGTGCTGGCACAACCAGACAAGGTAGCCTCAGCTTGAGGGTAACACTGTTATGATATCAAAACATGAATGAATACCTGTTGTTTATCTTGCTAACATATTTTTAAGCCTCAGCCACAGTCAGCACTCCATAATGTGGGTTTTAATCTGCTTTATTTGTGCTCTCACAGACAGGTGAAGGAGGCCCTCTCCAAGCAAAAAGAAATGTTGACCACTTTGGTCTCTTCCACAGAGCAGTTACATTTTGGCTTTGCTTCTTTTCGTTTTTTTTTAAGTCATTCTTGTTTTTGCATTGTTTTTTAGTTTGTGTTGTACATTGCTTGGTGTACAGTCTTCCCCTAATACATTCCCCTATTTCTGCCTCCCTCCTCTCGATTGTACTGTCAATACAAAGCCATATAAATTGAATTGTTAGTCAAAATGTTTCTTTCCAGCTTTTGGTAAAGCAGAAGATGACCCAAGGAGTCTTCTTAGCTTTATGAATATGGTAAAGCTATTTTTCATAGTGTGCTCAGCATGCTATTTCCACACATGGTTGCACACATTTTCTGCTTCATCAAACAACTGCATAAGAACATTATTTAAGTACCTCAAATAAAAACAGAGGGCATTTCTGAAAGGTTGAAATAGGATCATACCAACTGTAATAGGTCAGTGTTGGTTTGCTTGAAGAGGGGAATGTTTGAGCAGTTATTAGAGCTATTCTTAGTGCTAGTTCTTACTGTAGCTCACGGTAAGCCAGGTACGGCTGGGTGAGCACCAGGAGCAAGTTCCAGCAGGTAACACAGAAATAGGTGTTCACTGTCAGTGTTTCCAGCAGCAATGTTTCGGTTTTTTTTTTTACTTTATGGCAAAAGAAACAGGGATGAGTGGCAGCTTTCATTAAACTATTTCCTGGCATCACACAGGATAAGCTCATATGGAAACAGACATGTTTGTCTAGTCTCTGGCTAAGAAAGCTTGACATCTATCCCTACACATGACGATTGCTCCAGCAGGCTTTCCTATGCTTTTGCAGCCAAACGTTACTGCACACAGTACAGGGCTGTAAATATATTGTGGTGGTGGTGGTGTTTTTCTGGTTCTCTTTCCTTTTTATTTTCCCCTTATTTTACTGTCTGCACTAGAATAGATTTGTACGGTGGAAACAAAGATGACCATTCATGAGCAGCCGAAAAAAGGTGATCTGCAGCAGGCTTTTACACAGGATGAGAGTCAGATTGCTCATGGACCTCTGTGACACTTGCTTAACAATGTACTTAAAATTAACCCACTGACTTTAGCTGCTACTGTTCTTGTGTCCCTCCTGACTATGAGAAAAGTTTGCAAAAAACTATTCCATAATTCCACTCCTCTGTCTTAGTTTTGAGACAAGTTTCACAGGAAATGGTGGCCCGACTACTGTCTGATATAGGGGTTTCAGAAGGTCAGCAGTAAAGCAAGGAGGAGGATGTCAGAGGCAGGCCTGAAGACAATTGTGAGACTTTGCTTGTGTACCGGAGTCGGTGGGAGGCAGCACTGCCTGGTGCCAGCTCGACAGGGTGGACTGCGTGCTGAGTGCTTGAGGTTGGACTAGCCATCAGTGCTCAGCATTTTTCACTAAAATACAGTGGTTTTTAGTGGAAGTATGTCCATCAGAAGTAGTTCTGAATGAGTTAAAGTGCTTTCTGTTTTTTTTTATCCAGGTTATCAAGCACTTTTATATGCAGAAAGGAAAGATTTAGAGGCTGTTGCTATTGAGTTATCCTGCAATACGTACTGGTAGCTGGGTGCTCCAGTTTCAGCCGGGACACTCCAAGAGTTTGAGGGTTTGTGGGATGCCTATGCTCTTTTTAATCCTAATCAACCTTCCCCCTTCATCCATTAATGTTATTTGAGGCAGCTGTATCACAGACAGGGACCATTTTATCAGCTGTAAGGACTATGTGTATATTCCACAGAATCAACTAGGTTGGAAAAGATTTTTAAGATCATTAAGTCCAACCACTAAGGGCCTCACATATATGGTTTTGAACGCTTCCAGGGATGGTGACTCCACAGCTGCCCTGGGTGCCTGAACACCCTTTCTGGGGAAGGGATTGTTATAATATCCAATCTAAACCTCCCCTGGCACAGCTGGAAGCCATTACCTCTTGTCCTAGTGCTTGTTTCTGGGGAGAAGAGACCGACCCCACCTCACTACAAACTCCTTTCAGTTAGTTGTGAAAGATGATAAGGTCCCCCCATGAACCTCTACTTCTCCAGACCCTTCACCAGCTCCGTTGCCCTTCTCTGGACTCGCTCCAGCACCTCAATGTCTCTCTTGCAGTGAGGGGCCCAGAAATGAGCACAAGATTTGAGGTGCAACCTCACCAGTGCCCAGTACAGGGGGATGATCACTGCCCTGGCCCTGCTGGCCACATATTGCTGATACAGGCCAGGATGCTGTTGGCCTTCTTGGCTGCCTGGGCACAAGCTGGATCATGTTCAGCTCCATCAGTCAGCACCCCCAGGTCTCTTTCTGCTGTGCACCTTTCCAGCCACTTTGCCCAAAGACTGGGGCCCAAAAGCAGGACATGGAACTTCATCTTATTGAACCTCATACCACTGGCTATAGCCCATCGATCCAGCCTGTCCAGATCCCTCTGCATAGCCTCCCTACCCTTCAGCAGAAAAACACTCCCACCCAACTTGGTGTTTGCAAATATACTGAAGGTGCCCTCAATCCCCGCATCCAGATCAACAATGAAGATATAAACAACAGTGGCCCTAACACTGAGCCCTGAGGGACATCACTAGTGTCCACCATATATATACACAACCCCTCTCTTCTGTATGCTCAGGGTTTTAAGGATCCTGCATCCCCAAAGTGCTTCGGGGGTTACTATAATGGGAAATGAATGATGGTTAAATGCAGGCACATGCATCAGGGTTATGCTGAACAGCTCTATGTTACACAGCCCAGGCAGTGGTGCCATACGTATGGGTCAGTCTGGTGTGCATGATTATGGGCTGCCTCATGCCTGGTTGTTCCCTCTGCATGTAATGCATTATTCCCCAACAACTAACACCCCAAGCTGTCACATGTTCTGAAAACTCTGATTTTTTTTTTTTTTTTTATGAAAACCTGTGTTCTATAATGGTGACAAAGGATTTAAATATAAACTGCAGGAAATGGCAGACTGGCAGCTGCATCAACATCTGCTGTCCCTCTGAAGCCGAAGCCCTCCACTCAAAGTTTCATTCTTCAAGGTGGGGATATGCCTTGCGTAGTAGCTGTGGTACCAGGGCATGGAATCAAAATGTGACAAGTGAGCATATGATATCTGCAGGGTTTCCTTTTTCTTTTACCTTATTGTTTGTTCCTTTGTTTGCTCGTGTAT